CCCCTTCCGGGCCACCCGGGGCCGCTGCTCACCGGGGTCCTGTACCCGAAGGGCTGCGGCTCCTCCCGGCGAGGCTGCCGGGGACAGGGCCCTGCGAAGGGCCTTGCTGATAGCCGGGCTGGACGGAGGGAGGCCTGCGGGAAGCTTCTGTTTCCGTCGCTTAGGAGGAAGTTTTCCTCCTGAAGTTTTGCTAGTGTTGGATTTTCCCTCTGTTGGCAAAGGGATCGTTGGGTTCTCGAAGGTTGGGCTAAGTAGTTGTATAAATGCACAGTGATAGCTGTCTGGTTTCTTGCCTCCTTTGTGATAAGTATTTAAAACGTAAAATATTATTAGTTCTGGGATTCAGCCATAGTGTATCATGGCTGGTCTTTTTTTTTGCTATTTTTTTATATTTGCTTTTTATTGCATTTCTTCGTCAAAGAAGTGTTTCTGAGCATTTCCTCATGCAGTGGAATTGAAAAGCCTGAAGACTTTCTATACTGTTCTGTGGAATTCTTGTTAAGTGTGCTTTTTGTGTGTGCGTGTTAACTGTGAAGCTGAGAGGTGTAAATGTGCACATTCTGAAGAAAGCTATGTTCCTTAACAAGAACTTAACATCAAGAACTGAAAAGGAAGCTGAATATTCTCACTCGTCCTAGGTATGTTAGTGCTGAATTAAAAGAATTTTCTGACTTATGTATACTTAAAATAGACCTTCTCTGGAAAAGAGATAATAGTAACCTGAGCTCACTGTCTTTTGCAGTATCCCCATGTAGAAAGGTTTGTGTCTGTGCTGCTTCCCCTAAAGAGAAAAACTTTACAGAACTTGCATTGGTCAAATTTTCCTGTTTGTGCTCCCTGGAACAGAGCTGCTTGGTTGGGACAAAATGGATAGGGACGATTTACAGTGAAGCTAATACGGTAACTGTTGTCTGCCTCTCTGTTTTTCTAGTGGAATTTCAGTGGACAGCTCTAAATATGATGGGCCTCTGCTGCAGATTTTATTTATGAACAATATCATTTCAAAGTAAGTACTTTATCTTGCCAAGCAAAAGCAATCCTGACAAGAAGTCAGACTGATTTTTGTCACTGGTTGTTTGGATATGTTAGGATTTATTTGAAGTACATGTGCAGTATTTAGTATCACAAACTTGTTAAACTTTAATTGTGTGTATTTAATTCAGCAAAATCTAGCATCTTCGACTCCATTTCTGTAATCCATTTTTCCTCAAATGTACTTAGGCTAATTAAACTGCCTACAGTATGAGTTCATCATTAGTTCAAATTCGGTTTTGTGTGTGTATTTCTTTTAAGAACACGTAAATTCATTCTCACAGTTCTTCATTGCCATGAATGGACTGTTGGGACCAAAAGTTGTGAAATACTGTAAAATTCCAAGAGGTAGAAGTAGCAGGAAGATTTCTCAGTGCTAACATTTTTAAGCCTCCCCATCTGTCCCAGCACTCCTTTTTTTTTTTTTTTTTCTAACAGTCAGCTTTCAGCTGAAATATTCGTAGATCAGAACACTAAGTTCAAGGTAATGAAAAAAATTTAGCTCAAGTTGTGTAGATTTCTTAATTGCTGTATATTTCTTCATCTATTACAGGCAATATCATCAAGAAATTGAAGATTTTGTTTTTAATTTAGTTCAGAAATATGAAGAGCAACAGAGATCTGTGCCAGAAAAAAGCCACTTCAATCTTAAGCCACAGGTACTTTAAAGCTGAAGTTGTATTGCTACTTTGTGGTGTGGATACTGGAATACTAACAATGCTAAGTAGCTGTCTTCCAACTTATTTGCAAATTATCTAACTCTATCAAAAAAAGGTTGTAAAATTATTTCTTTCAAAAGTAGAGAAGGACAAGGACAATTAAGACATCCTTTCTGCCCTTATAAATGCTTCTTTAAAATTGTTCCTATTGAATTGTGTGTAAAAGCAAACTAAATGAACTCGGCTAAAGCTAGTGTATGTTTGGTTATGGAAAAGCAGAAGCCATACAACATATTCCGTGACTCTTAACGCCCTTCAGTAATTTAGGAGTTGTGGGACTTTCCTTCTTATAGTCGTTTTCTTTAATTATTTGAATTTTTGCTTTTCATGCCAGCCCTCCAGTGTAATTTTAGAAGAGGATTTTAAAGCAGCAAGCTCAAATTCTGTTAAAAAAATGAAGGAAGCCTTCAGTGTAAGTTTTAACCATATATTCTTCAATGGTAGGTCTAACTCTCTGTTCTATTTAGTCAATATAGAGTGCTATTAAAGTGAGATCTCATTATTAAATTTAATTTACCAATGCAGTAACAATTCAGTTCAGTATGTGTTGGCTACATCATTAGAGGAATACTAATTTGCATAGAAATGGACTATATCATTTGAAAATTCTTGTAGACTGGATGAAAAAATCTGGAAATGTATCAAACATCGTAAATTTCTAAAAATATTACCAGATAATCTGACCTAAATACTGACAATTTTCTGACAATTTTCTGACTTTTTTTCTACAGGTTGTAGGAAGTGTTCTGTATTTTACCAATTTTTGTCTTGATAAACTGGGACAGCCTATATTAAATGAAAATCCACAACTGACAGAAGGATGGGAAATACCTAAGTATCCTGTTTGCTAAAACAAGTTCTTTTTTCTTTCTATTGACTCCAGAGATTGCTAGTGGGTAGGGTTGAATTCAGATTCTATTCAATAAACTTATATTTTTATCTAAAACATAACAGATATTGTAGATTTTAAAAGATAAGGAATAATTAATATGACATTTTTATTACTGGCTCACTGATTTTTAGAAGACTGTTGTGCTTGGGAAGGATAAATATTGCATCCCTGTAAATTGATCTTTTGAATTTTGGAACTATTTAGGTCAGTCTGTGATTTTTAGTAACAGCTCATTCCAGATTTGCCTTTATAAAATCTGATGCTTAAGAGAAGAAATTGGCTTGGTAAACTGAAATACGCTCTGAGGTGATTAAGCCAAATGTGGGAGCCAAGGGAAAAATCTCTTAACAAAACTTAATTGTGGAGTGTTCTTAATTTACATTTTCTTAATTTACCAAGTTGGTTCTTTGCTGTTTCTTAAAACTGGTGTTTGAGAGGTGGGAGGTAGGAGTGAGGGAAGTGTTGGATGAATTTTTGTTTGTTTGTTTTTTAAGGAAAGGAAATTGCTCAGTTTTCTCAAGTAATCTTATATCCCAAATTTTCCAACATTGTTTCTTCCTCAGAAAGAATCAGGAGAATAAACAATAACACATTTCAGTTCTTCACTAACTAGCAGTAGAGGTTAGTCCCTAGAGTTAAAAATGATTTGTATCTGAGAGAGGTCTCAATCTATGGCTAACCTGGGTTTTATTGTGCCTGCCTTTGTCTGTGCATGCACTGTACCATAATTTTACATTCCAAAAGAGGTCTGTTTTAATGCATTTAGTAAATAAATGGTATTTGTACTCTAACTTAAATATCAAGGAATTAGATGCCATAAGGGTGGGGGAACCTTTTGGCATGGCTAAACTTTCAGATCTATCATGTTAGCACTATAATTATTTTTCAGATGTCCTTATTGCACCTTTCATTAGGGAACATTGAGCATAGAATAGCTTTTAGTAATGAATTAATTAGTGACTCAGGGACCGTGGTTGAAGGACTGCACTCATGGCGTCAGTTTGACCAGTGTATGACAAATGCTTTTCTTTTGAAAATCAATGGTTAGGTTCTGGACACTGCTTTTGAACTTTGCTGAGCCTCTGAGCCTTTTCTGTGAGGGTTCACTTGGGACCCTCCTGTCTTTTGTAGCTTCCTAGCTGAGCGGGAAGAACAATGGACAAAGTATAGTTAAAAAGCAAAAACAAGAAACATGTTATGCCCTAGACTTATCTCCTTCGAGAAGTGAATTATATTGTGAAAATTCTGCCAGAAAATATTACTAAATTTTGAGATTTGTAACATTCATAAGATTGATAGGAAATGTATCACAACTATAAATGTGGCAAGTGGAAAGAAGGAACAAAACTGGTTATTGGATAGAAATGGGGTAGAAGGCAACTACACAAACCTATCTTAGCAAAGAGTTTATAGTGGATTGTGCTTCTCAAATATAGACTTTATACTGAGGACTCATCTGTAACATAGTAGAGTCAATGTTCTAAGCACTACTAGTTTTTATTGATATTTTAAATGAGATTGAAATTTTGCTTGATCCGATAGCAGTTCCTTATTGAAATCTAAAGATACCAGCAAGTTTTCAGCCAGATTCTCTCCCTAGATGGACAAGAAATACAAGTAAAACCAAAAAGGTTTGTATTTTTCTTGAATATAAAGCCAAAAAGTTCAGATGTACACTGTGATTATTCCCTAGTATACTAAACCCTTGAATATACTTGAGAAATGAGTTCAGATTACCTAAACCAGTGCTGAACTACGGATTTTTATGATCCCTTAAATTGCCTTGAATATACTTGAGAAATGAGTTCAAAGTACCTAAACCAGTGCTGAACTACAGTGAGAGGATTTTTATGATCCCTTACATTTCTCTAGAAAGGGCCTCAAACTAGCCATTTCTGAATTTGTTTGTGCTCTGGTCTTCTGTTGTGTGTCTTTTTAATGATTGGTTTGTCATCCATGCACTGGCATTCTTTGTGTTTTGTAGAACAACTGTCTGACCTATTTTCTAGACTCTTAAGACAAATTTGGACTTAGGTTTATGTCTTTTATGAGAGGAAAAGTAAAGTTAATAGAATTTCCCAGTAATAGCTTGTGTTGTCTTCATAGCACCAGAAGTCATTGATTTCAGATGCAGTGGAAGACGACACAAACCTTTACTGGGAAATTCAGAGTCATGTTGAGTGTCTGTTTTGATAGAAATTACTACACTTGGAAGTAAAATCAGGTTTAACATGTTAATAAAATGGTGATAAAATACTTCAAGAATTTTTTTTTCTAAAATTTTGCAAGAGTGGGATTTCTACCTGTGTCAAACATGCTTATTACCATGGCATCCATTTACAAGGAAAATTAAACTCAAAGCTAACTGCAATTCCTTTTGTAGTTAGAGTAACTTGGTGTGCAGTTTCACAATACCTGTAATTTCTTCAGTCTGTGGATGTGAATCTTAAAATTCCTACTCTCCTATTTGTTTCTCTTGGTAACTAATTCTGAGTTTTGTAAAAACAATCAAACCTCTGATGATACACACTTGAGAGAGATATTACTGCATTAAAGATGTACTAAGATGAAAGTTGGTTTTTTTTAATCTGTACTCTGGAGTTAAAAGTATTGTTTAACATCTCTTTCCTACCTACATAGTGTAAACTTTACGATACAGATTTTATTTGCTTTTTTCTGTAATGAATTTTTATATGTATAATCAAAAGCAGAAATCCTTCAGTGAATACTCTGCCCCGTTATTTGATATAATTTCTTATATCAGTTACACCCTTCAGTAATTGAGGAGTTGTGGAACTTCCCTTCTTACAGTTTTACACCACATCAGTGGTGGCTTTTTCACCAGTAGGACAATCCAAGTGTAGGATCAAGCTGCTCAAAGAGCTTTTGCAGTCTCTGTCCTTAGACATTTTTAAGGCCCAACTGGATAAAGCTCTGAGCAGCGTAATCTGCTTTCATAGCTGACCCTGCTTTGATTAGGAGGTTGGATTAGAGACATCTTGAGATCTAACCTGAATTGTTCTGTAACTGTTGTTATTCCTTCTCTTAAAGGAATAACTTCTACTCTACAGGCTATAAAAACTCCATTTCTGTCTGGAAGTACTACTTTACCTCTATAATATTCTTCTTTCTTTTCTTCCTCTCCACATGCAGTCATACATGCTTTTATTTTTTACAGGTCTGTGGACATTTTCTTTTCCACATTCTGCTGTCGTACTTAAGAGCAAGAAATAAAATTTTCGTATTCCTTTTTCAAGATTTATATTAAATAGTTAATTGTGGAAAAGCAGGAAACAGCAAGCAATGCTCAACATAGTTTCTTTTGAAGTTTTAAGACTAAAAATCCAAATAATTGCATATGACACTGCAAACTGATTTTCAAACTTAATAATTTCTTGGGTGTTTCTTAAACAGGCCAAAACCTCATTGTTTTAATTGTGGTTCTGAAGAGCATCAAATGAAAGACTGTCCAAAGGTAAACTCTACATCAGAATTCAAAAGACTGCTCCTCTCCAAAAATGTTTCAGTGCAACTGCAACGCTAAATAAATAACAATAAGATGCAGTGGTCACCATGTACTAGTGATAATAATAGTTATTAGAATAATAGTTATTAGTGTCTGTTGATTAAGTTATGTTTTTCCATAAAACTTGTATTCATTAACATACTAAATCAGCATGTAAATAAGTTTCATAGCATAGTGATTTGAATATACCCTTTGCTTACGTAGGAACATTTTTCAGTTTGAACAATCTTTCTTCCTGTTTTAGAGATCTGCTAGTTCAAATGCAAATGCTTTTTTTTTTCTTTTTTCTTCCCTTTTTTAAATTTCTGTTTAACTTTCACTATAACTGTAATTATAAGATGTGTGATTAAAAGATTGAAGAAGCCTGGGGTAAAGGATTCCATATTTATGTTGGGTGAAGGCTTGTATAAGTTGCAAGTTGCCTGAATTTAAGCTTTCCAACTGCATTATCTTTCAGCCACGAAATGCTGCTCGCATAAGTGAGAAGAGAAAGGAGTATTTGGAAGCCTGTGGCGAAGCAAGCAACCAGAATTATCAGCAGCGTTATCATGCAGAAGAAGTAGAAGAGAGATTTGGAAAATTTAAACCAGGAGTAATTAGGTATCTCTTATTCTTTCTGTTAACTATGCACTGCTTTTCTGGAAAAACTTTTCTACCTTTGGAATGTCAAATTTTGCTTTACAGAGTTCTACAAGTCAATCTGCTAATCCTCACTATGGATATATTATGTGCAAATTTGTTTGCTGAAGAAAGTTTCGGTTTAATAAATTCCTCAGATATTTTTCAAACCTAAACTCTCATTCTAACTTAATGGTCCACTCTCTTCCCATGAAAGTTTCTCTGTTGTAGAGAGGTGGATTTTATGCTTGTTGCTGCTGCAGCTCTTTTTCCCAGGGAGAATTATAAATATTTCAGGCTTTTGCTAATTAAAGATGAGTGCAGAATTCTAAAAATTTTAGTTTTTGAGTCTTTCACTCTTGGTTTGTGTTCAAATTATATATTTTAAATCATCATATAGCTGTGGCAGTCTAAACAAATCATCAATAAATTTAAGATATTTAAGCGTTTTAAAATTATTGTGCTTGTTGGGTATACTGAAGTGTTAAAAGCTTTCTTTAATATAAGTTCTTTTTCTGACTTCAGTTATTTTTGTGATTGACAGGATAAAGTTTCTAAAGGCCAAAGTCTTCTGTTGAGCTTCTAAAACTAAAGTATTTTTACTTGGTAGTTTAAAATTCAACAAAATATTCATAACGTCCTTCCTCTGAAATTCAGTTATGGACTTATTGGAGTGCTTGTTGTTTTCTGTTTTCTTAACGTAGTGGAGAGCTTCAGGATGCACTTGGTGTCACAGATAAGAGTCTTCCTCCATTTATATATCGTATGCGTCAGCTAGGTTATCCTCCAGGTTGGCTCAAAGAGGCTGAAATGGAGCACTCGGGTCTTGCACTTTATGATGGAAGAGGTAAGAATTGTTCAGTGAAATGCAGCTCTCACTGTGCTGGCTCTTTACTTCATTGCATTCCGTTTAGAAGACAGTAACACACCCAATTTGTACACTTCCATATTCACAGAAGACAGAGAATGTTTTATATTTTTTATTTTTGTCTACAGTCATGTAAAAATACTCCCTTTTATCTATCCATTCTGTGACAAAAACATCTCATTCTATAATACAGATTTTCAGGGTTGAAGAGACTTTGTCCATATGCTTTTGTTCTTTTATCAACAAGTGATAACAGAACATGGAGTTCTTCTGGGTGGAACTGTAAGACTTTCAAATAATCTCCTGACAAATTTCCTAATATTCCTTTTTATAAACGAGTTTACAGCTTTTTCATTTTGGTTCATGAAAGAAACCATAAAATTTCTAAAGCTCAGTAATTATTCCTGTATAATAAGATGCCAAGATCAAACTAGGCAACTGGACAGCAGTGAGCATATTTCTTGAAACCTAATTTGCTGTGGAATGGTTTTTGTTAAAGCTGTGGATTTTTACATTAGCATCCTTAATTAGCATCTGTAATAATTATATTTTGTTATAGATGACGGTGAAACAGAAGATGAAGGATCCCATCAACCCAAACGTGTCACTTACGATGTCTCTAAGTTGATAAACTATCCAGGGTTTAATATGTCCACTCCAAGTGGGATCCCAGATGTAAGTGACCATCCTCTGTTTTCCAAACAGTGTCCAGAGTAATAGCCAAGTATAGTATTGCATTCTGTGACTGACTTTTTTCTTCAGATAAGAAATCTTTTATGACCTTTGCTGCCAAACTTTACATTCAAGAGAAGTGTAACATACTGCTAGTAACAAACTTCTTCATTGATAATACCTGTGCATTTAATAATAACTTGTATGGGTTTTTTTGCATCTTTCCATTTGCCAATGGCAAAAAGGGTAATGGAGACTAATGGCCTACCAATGTGATTTTTTTTTTAAAGACTTAAGTTCTCTTCTTAGAGCCTTGTCACAGTTTTCACTAAAAAAAAAAACGATATTGTTCAAAGTATGACTTCTTCTCTGAAGTTTATTTCAGAGGGAAGTCTATATTTGTTTTACAAGTGTTGAAGACCAGTAGCTACAAAAGGGTTACTGTGGCATTGTTTAAAAATGACTATTTTTGTTACTGTTAGCCAGTTGTGGTGCATTGCATCAGTTATTTTTGTTTGTGTGTTGAAATGGAGCACTTTGGTTTGCCAAAAGTTCATATTTAAGATCTGTTTACTCCCATGAAATGAAACTTTCAATAAGAACTGTGATCTATTTTGGCTTGTTATCTTTTAGTGTTTCTCTTATGTTTTATGTTCTCTTTATGTCATTTTTTTAGCCACACATATGCAACATTAGCCTTTTTTCTCTCTCTCTTTTTCGTACACTCTCTAGGAATGGCAGATATTTGGTTCCATACCCATGCAGCCATCTCAACAGAAGGATGTTTTTGCAAACTACCTTTCAAATTTTCATGCGGTGAATATGTCTCAATACTATTTGCACACACATACACACAAAAAAGTTGTCTAAGGAAGTCTTTTAGTTAGTATTGACAGTGATGAACTCTTGTTTATATCTTAATTTTTGTGCAAGGGAGTAGACTTTATTGTGGACACTGTAAAACTGATGCTTTCACTAGTTTTATAGTAAATTCCCTTAACATGATAGTGGTTTTGTATTCTAGTTAACTAGCGAAGTGGCCTATCTCCTAACAAGAAATTTAATGTTCAGAAGAAATTCCATCATTGCAAATCATGATTATGCAATATTTTCTCAATAGTTGTAAATATAGAGAGCTTTCAACTTTTGCTGACTAAAAGCAGTCTGCAAAGTTCTAGACTTCCATAATAAATTAAAAGATTATTTGCCATAGGCGTGATTAACAGTAATCTTATTATACTGACTTGAGTAAACATGTGGTTACCGAGTCCTCTAGTATTCCCAGGTCTTCTCTACTGTGACTCTAGCCTAGTTTTGTTAAATATTTCTAATTAAGAATGCAGGATGTATGTTCTATATTCAGTGTTATGGTGTAGAGCTGCAGGGAATTAAATGACAAATTCGAAGCCTGCTGTGAAGGAATCTGCAATACTTGTGTTGGTCTCACAAGATCTAGGTGTCCAGGTGGAAACTCGATCTTAATCCTGTGTTAGGCATGCAGAGAATCTGTTTCTTTGCTATTTAAACAAAATTGCAGTTCTATGCAGTTGCATTGAATCTCTCAGTGTTTACAAACGGGGTCACCAAGTGATTGCTCAATTCTGAAAATGCTTTAAAGATATTTCTGTAGTAGAAAATGTTACCTGTATGATTAAATCCTAATTTCTTTTGTCTTTTGGGGTAATTTCAGCCAAGTACAAAGTCAAGCAATAAAAGGGCTGCAACACAATCAAGCTCACATCCTTCAAAGCGACCAAAAGAAGACAGTTCAGAGCTACCAGCAGCTAACATGGACCTAGACCCTGGTATAGTTATTCTGCCTCTTTTTGTGTGGAAGGAGTATGTTAGATATGTTCAAGAGGTTTTGTTTTTGTTTTTTTGAGTGATCATCATCATCGAAATCCTAAAATAGTTTCAGCAGATGTTAAAACCTTCAAAAGGCTTGCTCTATATCAGTTAAATACCAAGACTGAGAAAAATCTCCTAGTGATCATAGCATTGGTACTCTTAATCTCACCCTGCACGGATTTCAGATTGTAATACATGCCTTTTCATCTTTTCTAGATTTGGAAGTGTCACAAAGGTCTCAAACCCGTAACAGTTTTCAGTTCCAGCCTCCGTTGCCACCTGGACCTCCAGCGAGTTCAGCTCCTCCTCCTTTACCACGAGGGACACCTCCACTTACTCCACCACACTCTACACGACCTCAGCCTCTGACCCCCACCCCTCCTCCTCTTCCTAAGAGTACTCCACCACTGACTCCTTCCAGTGTTACTTCTCAGCCAAAAATAGTGGACTCAACCATGGACGAGGATGCTCTGACTTTAGAAGAGCTGGAGGAACAGCAGCGATTAATTTGGGCAGCGCTAGAGCAGGCAGAAAGCACAAACAGTGACTCCGATATTCCTGTTGATACACCTTTAACTGGAAACTCTGTTACATCATCACCATCCAGGAATGAAGTAGAACTTGTTGCAGAAGTAAGATCATCTGACAAGGTGGTTACAGTAGAAACTGAGTTTTCTGACATTAGTTCACAGGTACCAGAAAATGAACATTCTAAGACTAGTCCTAATCCAGGGGATAGTTCACTTATTTTAGAGGAGAATCCTGATAATGCAGATTCCAAAGGCATGCTGGATGACATCACCACGGCTCCCAAAGTTGAGGTTAGCAGTGGAGGAAGTACAGGTGTTAATCAAGTGGTCACAAGCACTGAATCATCTGCTAAAAACTCCAGTTCCATTCCTGACATGAGCAAGTTTGCTGCAGGAATAACACCATTTGAATTTGAAAATATGGCAGAATCAACAGGTGTTTATCTTCGCATACGAAGTGTTTTAAAAAATTCCCCTAGAAACCAGCAAAAGAAAAAGCCCTAATCTTAACTGATCTTCCTTTCTTCTGTTATGTCCAAGTCTCTGTGCCCTTCTCTCTCCTCTTCCAATTTTACAGAGTTTTAGATAATCTTCATCCTTTTATGGCAAGGAGAAACTCTGGAAGAATACAGCTGTGCCCCTGGTCTTCCTTGGATCTGCAGTCATTGCAGGACTTCCATGTTGATCAGGACCAACCCTGCCATTAAATATACAGGAATTTTCCATATCCTTCCACTTCCAAATAACAGGACTATTGATTTATTAAGAACAATTTACTTGCCAGTACACAAAACTTGAAGTTGTGATTTGGTGTTCATTACTTTATATTGTCCTTGAGTTTCAGGTGAATTGCTGTTTTTTTTTTTAATCTGTTCTTTGTACAATAACCTATACTTTATACGTTTTGCTAATTATCCTGTAGGTAAGTTTAATATATTCAGAATGGTTTTTTAAAAGGGTAAACATAAAGATTTCCCCCATCTAAATCCTGGCAATTGGATGGAAGTAATCAGGGACTACCAGCATTATCTTCACCATTTCAAATATTTTTATAAATTATTTATGGATGTCAGTTTTCAGTACCACTATATCTTTTGTAACATCCTCCTTCATGTAAACTTGCTGTACATACCTGTTCATTTTTGTGTACAGAGGTTTAATAAATAAGGTTTTATAAGAAGTTTTTTTTTTAATTGGAGTCCTAAACTAACAAAATGTTGATTTTTGGAAAATAGCTGCTGAAGATACTAGAAAAAATAACTGATTAAAATGAGAATGAGCAGAGTTTAATATTTTAGAAAAGGTTGAAACTTGCAGTTTAAGTTTTTATAATCGAAAAGTTATTAAAATTATTTTAGCTACTTAAATAGAAAGCTGCTGTATCTTTCAGTTTTCATGAACTGAAGAATGCCATTTTCTCAAAGAACAAACTTGAAATTGTCAAAATTCTGCTAATTGTTTTAACTTTTTGTTCTCTTAATTCTTTCCCTGAAGGACCCCCTTGTGGAATGAGTGTACATTATGTGCATTGCCAGCAGAGGGAGTACTAGATTGCCTTAATTCTATTTATTGGAGCCACTACATTGGAGCCGTTTGTCCTCTGTAAAGGCAGGAAAAAAGTGTTTCTAGACAAGTGAGATGTGCAGTGAAGCACTGTCAGGTATCTAAGAAAATATTTGTGAGGGGGATGTTCAAGGATAGTTTTGGTAACAAGAGATAATAAGAGACTGAACTTAGAAACCTCAACTTTGTAGGCACTTTAGCTATTTCCTTCATAATCTGTGACATTGGTATATTTTGCTTTGAACACTTAAGGTTTTGGGGTTTTTTTTTTTAGTAGTTAAAGCACTTATAGTTGTTCTAAACTTTTTGGGAAGGACCAAAATGATTCTTTTATATACGAACTGCTTTTTAAAAAACATTTTTTTGCATTATTTACCACTTCAGTTAATCTGGTTCCACAGTAGTGATCAGGATACAGTGTTCGTCTTAGGTGCTAAAACAAACACCTCTTTTACTTCCTCCTTTTTAGGATAAATTTAGGGGCTTTATTTAATAGCAAGTAGCTTCCAGTTTTCTACCCGCATGATAAGAAGAGAACTCCGTTGGGAAGCACATAAAGATCTTAGCCTTTCTCCATGCTTCTTCCCCTCAAGAAGTTAAAAGTTCTAATTACAGTTTACGTAACCCATTATTTGCTATTTGCTGCCTCATTCACGTGGATGATAATGTGAGGCAAGACACAAAGTAACAATTTAAAGTGTACACACCTTTTGGGTGTGTTGAGCTGATCATGTTTTAAACATGAAGTTCTTTCTCCACACCCAAGATCTTTTTTATAGCTCTTATGACATGCCACTTCTTTAGTAGTACATATGGACTAAAAATTACAGGCCTACTTACATGCTTAGGCTTTGTTTACATCCCAAGATTAGGACTGTTTTTATATGTGCCTAGTACCCTCTAGCACTATACATTGCTCTGTATGTTCCCAAGAAATTCATAACAAATTACTTCCACTTAGCTGATAGAACAGATGAATCTTCCAACTCTCTACAAGTTCTCAGACTCGATGCTAACACAGCTATCAATTTATTCCTTCCAAGATTTGTTTTAAAGGTATTGGAATAAAGCGAAGCTATTTCAGCAACCCAGGTTTTAATCTAATGCTAAATTCTATTTTGAATATGCTTTGTTGATTTTATAAAGCTTTTTATTTCAAGTTCAGCAGCATTGCTCTGGACACTCTGTTGCCCACAAAATACTCTAGATGTGGATTTTTTTCATTTTTTGCGGGAAAAAAAGTACTGGTGTCAGAAGCAAATGTTATGTTGGGGTTCAGGGAGGGGACAGAAGAGTGTTTAAGTGAATGGCTCTTAAATTCATTCGAATTTTTGACCAGTTCAACTAAGAAATGTTTTTGTTCTCCATCTGTAATTTGGTGCAATTGGTTACCTGCAGCCCATACTGTCATACCTGCATAACACCCTCAAAACTCACACAATTTGGATAGTTTGGTTTAACAGTCTCGTTTTACAATGTATTGAAGGAATTTATGCTTTTGTAAATAATGAGTTGGCTGTGTGCTCAGAATTATTTTTATATTGCTTTTTTTCTCTCCTTTTTTTGCAAAACTGCTACATGGTTAGCAGATGGTGGCTGTCTCACTTGCAAGTATTTTGGGGATGTAATTTGATACTAGTACTCATTATTTTCGAATGAGATCAATATAATAAAAAAGTATAAGTCCCTACATAGTCAAAGTTTGTATAACTAGTTGGTTATGGATAGGCGAAAGCGAGCACTTAATTAGACCGCTATAAGGGGACTAAGAAAAGACCTAAGCACGAAGCTACTTTGGGAAAAGCATGGGATGTTAGGCCTGTTTGGGCCATCTGAGTGAGGGGTTTGGAGAATATCCTTCCATCCTGTCACAGGTTAGAGTATGAAGCATCTGTATCACACAGAGAGCAACTTTGCATTTTTTGTTTTGTTTCTTTGTATTCCATCAATCTAAAGGACCTCTCTGCTGATAAAATCCAAACTCTTTTTCTACTGATCCATATAAACCATATGTCAAAACAAAAACTTTTCCTGTATTAGCCTAAAAATTTCTTCCCCTGTGCAAAACATAGCTGGGAGCAGAATATTTTCATTTCCTACTTCTCTTAGGATGTTTGTACAATTCTTCAATTTCTTCAATCTTTCAGGTGCGACTAGTCATTTTTATATATTGAAACTGCAATATCTGAGAAAACACGAATACCAAAGTGCTTCTGATACTTTAACTTGCATTCTCATGGTGATGGGTGTGGCATAATAGCCTAGATTAGAGCTCGTTACGGTGAGTAATAAAATTTGTAATGAGGTGGGTATAGTGTGAGCAGGCATCATTCAGATTTTCTCACAGATTTCTGCTAATATAATACTGGCATTCATTTGCAATATTTAGAACAGCAAGATCAAAGCTATTTAAAAATGCTTACATACTTCTACTAAAAATAATCCCTGAAAAAAATAGGGCATCAGTTTGGTAGCTCTCTCTAACCTAATTCACAATGATAGAAAAGAACAATAGCTGAGATTCTAGAAGAAATCTGAAAGACATGGTAAATGCTAAGAATTAATTTTACTGCAAACTGTGTCATGTAGGATAAGCATTTAGCTGAAGAAAAGAGGAACAAGCTAAAAATATAGTGAAAGGACTTCAAATGCATTGGTGCTTGCCATGGAACTCCCTAGTACCTTCATTTTGTAACAGAGACAGTAAAATTGTGGTAAGTAAATGCCATTGAAAATTGATGTTGATACTGTTGAGAATACAAGGTAGAGCTGATAGTCCTGCTCGTGTATTGGGGAATGGGGGGAATGACTCAGAGCAAGGATTAGTCTCTTGGTCCTTGGAGAAGCTTACAAACACGGTGGATTTCATAAGATGGTAATTAATGTAAAGCTAACTATTGGACACGTCCTAAACCTTAACTACATGCCACAGAGGTTTGATGTAAAATTTTATTCTGCAATTTATATTTGACTGTCATTCAATGACTGACTAATTTCCTTTCTTTTGAAAGAAAAAAATGCTCCGTAGATGAGACAATTCAGCTTTTGTTGCATTTTATGTAGGTAGTGGAATGTTTATCCTTTTACTTGCACAGTAGGATAGATTCTTAATAGAACACAGTTTATCAGTTATGTTTAGCATAAAACAGTCAAAGTGAAGATTACGGTTTTTAAACTAAGTACCTTGTTTAATCAAGCATGCCAAAGGGATTCTCTGAATCTGTTCCTTTCACTGGTTTCATCCCTGATAGGTAGAACAAGTAATACATAACTGCATGAAAATTTGATTTATGTAGCACTCCAGCAAAAGAGCTGTGAAGGGCTTTTCTGTGACTGCTGATCTAGTGAAGGAAAGCAGTAAGTGCAAAAAAAAAAATAGTCCTTCAAGCTACTTAGCTATGAAAAGTGGCTTTCTTGCTATTCTCTCCTTGAAGACAATAGGTGAAATATGGCAGTTGAAATACTAGAAAGAATGGAGGCATTACTAAGTTGGGTACATAGTACTTAACACTAAAAAGGACTGTTTTCCATCTAGTGTAACCTATCAGTCTTGAGCTGTCAGTTTTGGTCATGAATTTAAAACAAAAAATACTAAGGTAAGTATGAGACTTCAAGAGACTAAATCCCCTTGCTATGAATATAGCTGTAAATATATGAACATATGAACAAGACACACCAATTAGGTTAAAAGGGGGAGAAATGCTATTGTGTTTTTGTGACGACTCAAATTACTACAGGAAATAATAGCACACATGTTCTGTACCAGAATTTGTGAAGCAATACTTCCTTGCTAAAAAGACAGTTGCTTTTTTTCAGAAGCATGTGTGACCATTAATTCATTATATGGGTTACAATAAGTACATATTCAAGAGTGCATTCACATGGAAAATATATAAAAATATATATATTAAATACATATACATGCACATGTGCTCTAGATTTTTGTCCTTGCATGCATACAGCCCTTTG